GCCAAAACGGCTCCTCAATGTTGCCCATCTGGGATGGGCAACAAATTTGTGGAGCCTTGAAGCTCCATTCCCACTTTTCCCACCGATGTGGGACGGTGGGAAAAGTGGGAATACAAGAGGGGAGCAGCTTATGCTGCTCCCTTCTTTCGTTCTTTTTTTTTTTTTTTTTTTTTTTTTTTTTAATTATTATTATTATTATGAATTATAAATTATAATGTATACCCTTATGGTCATTTTACATGTTAACCGCTAATCTAAACAGCTAATTTTACCAAACATTTTTTTATAAACCGCTAATACAATCTGCTGGTCAAACCTGCTAATACAATCCGCTATCTGATAACCGCTAACACAACCCGCTACCGCTGACCGCTAACCGCTGACCGCTAACCGCTGATAACCAAACAAGCCCATTATCTCCAACAAGAACGAAAAGGTAATTTCAGTTCACGTGAAAGCAAACACCTCCTGACCTTTTCAATGACAATTTAATTTTTTTTTTTTAAGTTATTAATTTTCACATAACAAAAACTCTACGGGTGATTATCCTTATAAACATGAAACGGGTCGAGTTAATATAAAAATGTAATACTAATCAATGATAAAATATAGATGAGTGAGTGAAAATTATTGTTTTACCAATTAAAGTCCAACATTAACAATTTAACCGGATTATTGATGGAATACTAAATTTACTATTGGCCATACTAAAATATGATTAAATTATTTGTTGATAATTAAATTTAAAAGAAAATCCTTAAATGAAGGACTACATCTAATGTTAATTAGGATTTTACACATTTACACAGGTTTAACTAAATGATTCAGTAGGCAGTATTTGAGAGAAGAGACCAATGTTCGAACCTCGACAACATTGGACAGATCTCTTTTGTGCATCGGGGTGTGAGGGCCATTGGAGTTGGGGATTCAACCTTTTGAGAGAAGAAAGATTTGACACATTTGAGTGTGAGCTAGACCCATTTAGTCATCTTCTATTATATATTTGAGTGTGAGCTAGACCCATTTAGTCATCTTCTATTATATATTTATATGGATGGATTTAGGGTTTAGGGTTTGGAGATGGGTGAGTTAATTAATTTGCGCGCAAATCACGTTGCTATGTATTTTATTTTAGTTGCCTAATCACGTTGCTAATTTTATAATTGCATTTACGTTTACGACGTGAATCTTGGATCCTGCTCAGAAGACTCCTTCTTCAGACTCATATCTTCATTTATATACGGAATAGTATATATTTTTTGTTTCCTAGATTTGATCGATACTACATTTGTTTTTTGTCCCACGTTTAATTGGATTTTTTTTTTAATTTTAATTAGAACAGAAAACCTATTTCGTATCGATAATTTTATGATTCAATGTCATAAATGTAAAATTTTATATAAGATGGTGTGGGGTTAATTTTTATTTTCTTGCATGCAAAAAATAAAAAATTGGTCCTGTTTGGTAACATAGTTAGTTTATCAGTCAATTTTAATTTATTTGATCACTATTAACTGTTTGATTTGGTTAAACAATTAATATGAGTGTTTAATTAATTAGCTTTTTGTAACAATTTATTACTCAAAAATGGTAAAATTCAAAAAACTACTCACTTTTTTAGAAAATCATTTTGCATGCAATCAGGTATCAGTTAACAACTAATTTACCAAACATTTTTATACAATTAGCTAATGTTATCAACTAGTCAAACTCACTAACTCAATCAGCTAACAACTATCAGCTAACATTTATTTACCAAACACCCATTTTGTCATCTGATATAATATTTCGGTATAATATTTTGATAAGAATAAAAGTCGAAAATTTCAAACACTAATACCACGGCATTTGGTTATCACGAAATAGGTCTTAAATAGAAAAACATTCAAGAGAATACACTTAAATGGGCAACCGTTATACAGTGGATCATGATCCAGATTGTAAGGTAGACCACTGATATATATACTCATTTTTATTATATTACTAGCATTTTGCATGTGCGATGCTCGAAAATCTATGCCCAATATTAAAAAAATTATGATATTCTTTAAAGTGGCAACAAAATTGGTGAATAAATTTAAAAAATTAGTTAAACTTATGTATTCCAATTGATGATACTTTTGAATTATCGTATATTTGAATAATATAGTGATCAAAACAAAAAAATTATATTTTTATATAATAATAATTTACAAATAATACTAAGCTAACACCCACATATATACATATATATAATTTAACATTCCGGAGTGTGGGGGGCCCTTAGGGTTGGGGTTCAGCCTTTTGGAAGAATATATAATTTAACATTCATATAAATATTTAATTAAAATATAATTTATAATTAATTTATTTATTATATGATAATTTTAATAAAATGATAATTAAAAATAGGAAAAAGATATGATAGATGTAGGTGTATGGTCAGATTGGTGGACATAATAAATATTAACGGTGTAAGGGTGATTTTGTCCAATACAAATGAAATGTACAACAATTAAAGCAAAATGTATATATTTATCAGCATATAAAAAATGGACAAAAATCAAGGACATAACTTGTATTGGCATATATTATGTTTTTATTTAGATTACATGTCTATTTTAATATGTTACCTAAAAATGAACTTATAATATATTAAAAATGAATATGTATTAGTGCTCATCTTACAATGTAATTACTAATGTATCATGATTAGTTTTTGTTTTAAATATCTAAGTTGAAATCATTTAATAATATAATAATAATAACAACAATAATAATAATAATAATAATAATAATAATAATAATAATAATAATAGGGAATAATAATAATAATAATAATAATAATAATAATAATAATAAATAGTTAAAAAAATTAAATGCAATTGGTTACAAATTTCTGAGTTTTGTAAAGTTGTATCTTATATATAAAAGAAGAGTTAATACCCAAAATCGTCCTCGACTATAGTGGTTTTTCTCAATTTCGTCCTAAACGACTTTGGTGACTTAATATCGTCCCACACTTTTGTGTTTCTCTCAATTTAGTCCTCCATTTGTTATTCCGTCAAATTGGTGTTAAATAAAGGGACAATTCAGTATGTCAATATTGATCTCTCTTTACTTTCAACTTGTGAAGTGCGAAATTCCTCTTTCTTGTACGAATTACACCCAGAATTACTCCCGGACCTGCAAATCAAATTTTATATTCGCAGTTTTAGGAGTAATTCTGGGAGTAATTCGTAAAAAAAAAAAAGATTTCGCAGTTCACATGTCTATGAGTAAAGAGATGGCAATATTAAAATTACTGAATTGTCTATTTATTTAACACCAAATGGACAGAATAACAAATGAAGGACTAAATTGAGCAAAAACACAAAAGTCTAGGACTAAATTGAGCGAAACACAAAAGTCTGGGACGATATTAGGTCACTAAAGTCGTTTAGGACGAAATTGAGAAAAACCACTATAGTCGAGGACGATTTTGGGTATTAACTCTATAAAAGAAGATTATAATTTACAAAACATTCTGTATTATAAATTACAATATTGTTAATTTTACATATATATATATATATATATATATATATATATATATATAAAGATATATAAGATTGATATACATTTCTCAATCTTTTGAACCTTAATAAATAATTTTTTTTGAGAGATGAGGGAAGCCCGCCACCTATTTCTTGTGTGACGGATTTCAATGAGAAAATGCTATCAAAAATTGAATTCAAGAATCATACTCCACCACTTATATTGAGACCTAAATACATTTTTTTTTTACAAATTATTTCACGAATCAAATAGGAGAATAAAAAACACATTCTTCCTTCTTCAAACCAAACATGTCGTAATATAATGTTGTTGAGATTGATCATGAATTAACAACTCCACAGCAGAAACGTGGAGACAAAAGAAATCCCACATGATTTGCACTTACTCATTTACAAACAGTTGGAAAACGGCAAACAATTAAAAAAAAATTGTTTTTAACAAACTAAAAATTATATATTTTTTAAAGAAAAAACTTGCAACCCCCGATTTAATATAATAAATAAATAAATATATAAATAAAAACATTTGAATAATTCCTCCGTAGTATGTACGCAGATTGATTTTGTGAGATTAAATTAATTTGTATTACTTATTTATTATTTATAATAAAAAAAGAAGAAGAAGAAGAAGAATTTGGATTACGTATTTCGGTTCTGTCAATAAAACCACTTCATGGGCGAGTGAGTTAAAAGTAAAATTAAAAAAAAAAAAAGTATTTCGCAGGCCATTGAGAGATTTTTAATTTTTTAAAGTGACAATAGTAGTGATATTTTCTTAAATAAAAAAATGTTATCTCTCCTACAAAATTTTATTGATTTCAAAGTAATAATTATTTATAAAGTACAATAATACCACACGTATTTTGGTGGTAAAAATATCATTTGATTTAGCAAAATGTGTTAATTCAAGTGAAAGATATTTGAGTAACATAAAATTAAAAATTCGAATTTATATGTACGTAGTATTTAAAGAAATTCGTTTTATTTGATTTGATATATTATAATTGTTATGTGATATTTTTTTTTTGAAAATTATAGATGTGGGGATATGAAACATAACATTTGTCACTGTGTTTAAATTTTATTAGGAAAAAAAAGTGAAAGAAATAACAAAACGTGACATTCATAATCAATCAAAGCGTGACACCACTGCTGGAGTTTAGAGTTAGATGTAATATTACTCTCGAAATTTTATCATTTTTTCATTTTTATAACGAGTTTTATTTATGTATTTCCAAATTATACTCCTTCATTTTTACTCTAGATATGTTTATCATGTAAATCTCAAAAAAATATCTACTTTTTAATGAGCAGAGTAGAAGTTGATGATAAGAAATGAGAGTACACGTAGTATTTTTCTTTTATATATATATATGCTCGTCATACTCGAATCAAATCAAATATTCATTTCCGTACAACAACGGTGACTGCATGAACCTTGTGCCTCGCCTACTAGTACCTTCGTTTATATAATAGTCGTGTAAGTTCAGTGGTTCATTTCAGATTCTAAAACCCTTGATATTCCCGCCAGATTTCCATTTTGAGGAAATCTAAGTACAGGCATTTCACCAAACAGTAATGGTTGCTTGAATTGCCTGCATTTTCTTAGGTGAAATGATCCCAACTACTCCCTCAGCTGCTGCATTTTTAAAACCCAGAAATCATATATAGCCTCCGTGCTTCCATTGCAATTTTGCAGACTTTAATTTAAAGCCTCTCATTTGATAAACCCCTTTGTAGTTTTACTTAACCTCTTATGTTCTTGACTTGCTGCTTGGTAGCTTTTAGGTAATAGTATGTGGTGTAGTGATTCACAAACCCTCAGCTCATTCAACTTCACTGGTCCAGTTTCTGATTCCATGACAGGTAATTTTTTATTTTTATTTTTTTTTTAATTGTATATATTCACTTTTAACTTTTATTATTTCTTTAGCTGATTTATATTTGTGTTTCTTGCATTTTTTTGGCCCTGTTTGTTAAATGGCTGTTAGCTGATTGTGTTAATTAGAGGATATAACTAGTTGATAACATTAGCTCTTGTAGAAAAGTGTTTGGTAAATTAGCGGTTAGCTGATAGCTTTTTGGTATACTTTTTTTTTTTTTGAAAAAGTTGCTTGGAGTAGCTTTTTGAATTTTAGCATTTTAGAGTTGCAAAAAGTTAATTAATCAAACACTTATATTGATATTTTAACTAAATCAAACAATTAATAGTGGTCAAATAAGCCAAAATTGGCCTATAGGCCAATTTTTTACCAAACAGGGCCAAATTTTTTGATTGTGTACTAGGATGAAGTTTTGCTTCTTCATTTGACTCCTATATATCTTGTGTATTTCTTGCTTGTATTTTTAGGAGATTGGTGATAGGCAAAGCTTTTCCAGTTGGGGTTTAGTCATGTCTTCTTCATCAGCTTCATGGTACTCTTCTCTTGAGTGTTCATCATCTATCATCAACTCTTCTGGTGATTCATCCTTAACCTCAATTGCAATCCAATGGTTGAGGTTCATTTTTCTGTCACCATGTCCCCAGAGGATCCTTTTCTCATCCATTGATCTCATTTTCCTTCTTACCCTAGTAGTGTTAGGTGTCATTAGGTTCATAAGAAGCAAGAAAAAGAAGAGCTCCTCTGTCAATAGACCTCTCATTGAAAGAGAGACACAGGGCTTCAGAGTCACCCCTTGGTTCTATGTATCTCTGGTTGTGACAGCTCTCTTAGCCTTAGCTTATGCCGGTCTTTGCATATTCACTTTCATTAAGGGGGTTGATTCAAAATGGGATGTGGTAGAAGCCATATTCAGGTCATTCCAAGCTGTGACTCATGTCATGGTTTTTGTTCTTATCGTGCACGAGAAAAAATTTGGAGCTGCTCGTCATTCTGTGCCCATTCGAGCCTATTGGGCTGGAAACTTGTTAGGCGTATGCCTATTTGTGGCTTCTGCAGTCATTCGCTTAGTCAATAATGGTGGATACAAAAAGGGTTCGACAACAATGAGAGTTGATGATTTGTTTTCCTTTGCTTGTTTCCCTTTGTCTGTTTATCTCTTTGTTGTCACCATTCGAGGATCAACTGGAATTGTTAGTGTGGGTGGTGGGGGAGATGATGCAAATGGTAATGGTTCTGTTGAGGTGGATTCTAAAGTCAGTGGCTATGCTACTGCTTCTTTGTTCTCTAAGGCAGTGTGGAAATGGATGAATCCATTATTGACTAAGGGATACAAGTCCCCTTTAACAGAAGACGAAGTGCCTTCACTCCCGCCAGAGTTTCGCGCAGAGAAAATGTCAGAACTCCTGGAAAAGAATTGGCCCAAGCCAGACGAGGGTACATCGCAGCCAGTATTGAAAGCATTAGTACGTTGCTTCTGGAAGGATCTTGCTTTCACGGGTTTCCTTGCGGTTGTGAAGTTAGCTGTCATGTATATTGGCCCCCTCCTAATTGATAGTTTTGTTGATTATTCTTCTGGGGATAGGAGCAACCCCTTTAAGGGATACTATCTAGTGGTCATCCTCTTTCTTGCAAAAGTGATCGAAGTCCTGAGTTCACATCACTATAATTTCCACACCACAAAACTCGGGATGCTAATGCGATGCAGTCTCATTTCTACTTTGTACAAGAAAGGCCTAAGGCTGTCTTGCTCTGCTAGACAGACACACGGAGTGGGACACATCGTGAATTACATGGCTGTTGATACACAGTTAATATCCGACATGGTACCGCAGTTGCACACCGTGTGGATGATGCCAATGCAACTTGTGGCAGCTATAGTCCTCCTATATATTTATATTGGTGCACCCGTGGTTGCATCAGTGGCTCTAGTTGTTTTACTAATCATTCTAACATTTGGATTGACACTTCTGAGCAATTTTTACCAGTTGAGAGTGATGATGAATCGGGATTTAAGGATAAAAGCTATAAACGAATTGCTGGGCAATATGCGTGTCATCAAGTTTCAAGCATGGGAAGAACACTTCAGTAAGAAAATACAATCGTTGCGTGGAGTTGAGTTCAGCTGGTTAACGAAGATCATGTGTATGACGAGTATAAATGGGTCGATTCTTTGGAGTGTCCCAAACATCATTTCCTTGCTTACATTTGGTTTGGCGATTTGGATGAAAGTCAATCTTGATACTGGGAAAGTATTCACGGTAATGACAGTTCTGAAAATTTTACAGGATCCTATCCGAACCTTCCCCCAGGTTCTGGTCTTTTTGTCACAAACCATCATTTGTTTGAGGAGGTTGAATACCTATATGTTAAGCCATGAATTGGAAAGTGATTTAGTCCAAAGAGAAGATCGTGATTATGGTGGTGCAATTGCAGTGGAGGTGAAAAATGGGAATTTTACTTGGGACGATAATGATGAGAAAAACGTGTTGAAAGATATAAATTTCAGAATCAGAAAGGGGGAGCTTGCTGCAATTGTTGGAACAGTTGGATCAGGAAAGTCTTCCTTATTGGCTTCAATTCTTGGTGAACTTCAAAAATCATCAGGAGAGGTATGGAGTTTATTATCCTTGTCAACATGACGGGTCAATCTTTCTGATTTTTTTTCTTTCATATAGACAGCATGAATTTGTAGAATTAGTTGTCTTTTCCCGAACAATTACTGATACCTGACTTGGTTCTTAACAGTTGAAACTTTCATTTGCTTTCTGGATCCCAGTTTTTCTTGTTCTATACTTAACAAGGATCGTTATTCCAGAATAGCAATCCTTTATCTCTGATTTTATAACACTAGTTCTTGTGATGGTTACGTTATCAAGTTGTATTACAGGTCAGAGTTTGTGGTACTACTGCCTATGTGGCACAATCCTCATGGATACAACACGCAACTATTCAAGACAATATCTTGTTTGGTTTGCCAATGGACAGGGACAGATACAATAATGCAATACGAGTTTGCTCCTTAGAGAAAGATTTGGAGGTTCTAGAACATGGCGACCAAACAGAGATTGGAGAACGAGGAATCAACCTCAGTGGTGGTCAGAAGCAAAGGGTACAACTGGCTAGAGCAGTATATCAGGATTGTGATATCTATCTTCTTGACGACGTATTTAGTGCTGTTGATGCTCAAACTGGATCTGAAATATTTAAGGTGTCTGCAAATTACGCATCATTTCTCGAGTAAAATTGCTTGTTTGCATGATACTGTAGTTATTTTCGCTATGCATAAGTTAAATTATTCATTGTTTTTGTAGGGATGTGTGAGAGGAGCTTTGAAAGATAAAACAATTCTTCTCGTGACCCACCAAGTTGATTTCCTGCACAATGCGGATCTTATACTGGTATTTAAAGAATATTCATTTGCAAGTGCAATTATGTTTATATAAATTCTATACTATTTGAATATTGGCTTCATCACAAGCCAGTAGTGACTTCTATTCTCATTTAGGCATTCCAGTACTTGTGGTTTCTTCTCTCATATTTTGAGTTGATCTCGATAACTCGATTATCAGGTGATGCGAGAAGGGAAGATCGTCCAATCTGGAAAGTATGGGGAGCTTCTTGAATCCGGCATGGATTTTGGTGCTCTTGTTGCTGCTCATGAGAACTCTATGGAGCTAGTGGAAATGAGCACCACCGTTTCTGATGAAAACCATCCGCAAACACCCAAATCGCCCCACCAACAAGCTCCCAATTCGCCTATTAAACTCGAGGGCCAAGGGAAACCCAAAGACCAACCCGAGGCTAGTGCTGACTCGAAGCTCATTGAAGACGAGGAGAGGGAATCTGGGCATGTAAACTGTTCAGTCTATAAGGAGTATTGCACCAAGGCGTATGGATGGTGGGGAGTAGTGGCTGTGATAGTTATGTCGCTGCTGTGGCAATTAGCTCTTACTGCAAATGATTACTGGCTTGCATATGAGACTTCAAGTTCAACCGTTTTTAAACCTTCTAGGTTCATTAATGTTTACGCAATCATAGGAGGCATTTCGTGCATACTCGTGGGCGCCAGATCATTTCTTCTCGTAGGTTTATGTCTGAAAACAAGTCAAGGCTATTTTACTGAAATCATCGACAGCATCCTGCATGCTCCAATGTCATTCTTTGACACTACTCCATCAGGAAGAATATTAAGTCGGGTGAGTTCTACTCGTTTATGATTCAGATTCAATGCATTTTTATTCCAATACCACCTGAACTAATTTATAAATTTACCTTTCAGGTAACAATTGATCAAGCCTCAGTTGATATTGTGATCCCAGTGTTTGTGAGTACTGCACTGCAATCGTTTTTCACATTATTTGGCATATTGGTTGTCATATGTCAGAGTGCCTGGCCAACAATATTCCTCCTCATCCCTATGTTTTGGCTTAATGCCTGGTATCGGGTAACGAGAGATTTCTACTGCAATGCCATTCTTTTTGTTTCTGCTTATCAAAACTTTACATTTGAGAAGATCTTTAACTCTATACTTGTATGCAGAAATACTTTATTCCATCGTCGCGTCAATTGACCCGAATGGATTCAATTACTAAAGCCCCAATCCTCCACCACTTCTCCGAGACTATTTCTGGAGTTATGACCATACGTAGCTTCAGGAAGCAAGGCGTGTCATTCCAGGGGAACATTGACAGAGTGAATAAGAATCTGAGGATGGATTTCAACAACAACGGGGCAAATGAGTGGATGGGTTTCCGCCTCGAGTTTCTTGGAAGCTTTCTCCTCTGCGCATCCACCCTTTTCATGGTTATGCTACCAAAAAACATTATTGGATCAGGTGCCATTTATATTATTAACCGAACCACACACCATGTTTGCTAATTATTATCATTTTTTGTAAATGACTGACTTGTGCTTTTTGTTTGCTACTAGAGTACATTGGCATGGCTCTATCTTATGGTCTCTCGCTGAATAGTGTTATCTTCTACTGCGTCTATTTGACCTGTGTCATGGAGAATAAAATGGTTGCAATTGAAAGAATAAAGCAATTCATAAACATCCCACCAGAAGCAGCATGGAAGACACCAGGCTGTGCCCCACCTCCAACTTGGCCCCATCATGGTGACATTGAGATCAAAGACTTGAAGGTAATCACATTCTTCTGTTATTCTTCTTTAGCCTCGTTAAGTCTCGACAATTGTACTTGCAAGATTTTTTGCAGCATTGACATAAACTTGTTTATCTTGAACCAATTAAATCCCTCGAGAAAAACTTATTATCGATGGGACTATCTTGCATTTCAAGTATTTGGTTAAACAGATGGCATCATGTGAAACTCTGAGCAGGTTAGGTATCGGCACAACACTCCTCTTGTTCTGAAAGGGATTTCCTTTAGCATCCATGGCGGCGAAAAGATTGGCGTTGTTGGAAGAACTGGGAGTGGGAAGTCAACTCTGATACAAGTTTTTTTCCGCCTGGTGGAGCCTTGTGGAGGCAAGATAGTAATTGACGGGGTTGACATTTGCAAGCTAGGCCTTCATGATCTGAGATCGCGCTTTGGCATCATCCCTCAGGAGCCTGTTCTTTTTGAAGGGACCATCAGAAGCAATATCGATCCACTTGGGTTATACTCCGATGATGAAATATGGAGGGTACTATACTATATTCCTCCTAAATAATCATCCCATTTCAACTCCATTCCTGTTAAACTAACAACTCCGTTTTCTATTTTCTGTTCTCAGAGTCTCGAACGCTGTCAGTTGAAAGAAGTGGTGTCTGAGAAGACTGGACAACTCGATGCTTCAGGTAGCTATACCTATATTGCTGTCTGATTTTTGTACTATCTCATTTGTTGAGCATATAACATAAAATACAAACGTGTGTAGTCCAACTATCAGCTTAGACTTTTTAGTTGCTGACGGCTTTAAATTTGCTTAGTGGTTTCCTCGGGAGACAACTGGAGCATGGGCCAAAGGCAGCTTCTCTGCTTGGGGAGAGTCATGCTGAAGAACAGCAGAATTCTCTTCATGGATGAAGCAACAGCCTCCGTCGATTCTCAGACAGACAGCGTCATCCAAAAAGTCATCCGGGAGGACTTCTTGAACTGCACAATTATCACCATTGCTCACAGAATTCCCACTGTCATAGACTGCAACAAGGTGTTAGTCCTGGATGATGGTGAGTTGGTATCTCGTTTTACTGATCTCCGTTTTTCTGCAAACTTAACCGCTTTATTACACATTCGTGCTGGCTGGCATAAATCCCTACAATGATGCTTGTTTTTACTGACCACCATTTTTCTGCAACTTAACAACGTTATTATACATTCGTGCTAGGCTGGCTGACATAAATGATGATGCTTGTTTTACTGATCACCATTTTTTTGCAACTTAACAACTTAAGGGGCAAAGTATTGGCCAGATTGGTTTTCCCTCTCTCGTATGGAAAAACCAATCTGGCCAGCACTTTGCCCCTTAATTGGGCCGGCCTGGTGCGAACGGGGATTAGTTTGAGTATGGTACTGGCTTAAAAGTGCCTCCTACAGTTAGTGCCTACTCAGGACACCTCGTGGTCTGATCAGAAAAATAAAAAGAAAAAACGTTATTATACATTCGTGCTAGGCTGGCTGACATTAATGCAGACGATGATGCTTGTTTTACTGATCACCATTTTTGTTTGCAACTTAACCACGTTATACATTCATGCTGGCTGACATAAATGCAGACAGTGATGTTCATTTCAAAATCGTGTTTTTTGTTGTGTTTTATTTGTAGGGTTGGCGAAGGAGTTTGATGCGCCAGTGAAGCTGATGGAGCGGCCATCGTTGTTTGGAGCATTGGTTCAAGAATACTCAATTAGATCATCTGGAGTATAAACCACTTTCTTAGTTCACTGTTAGAGTTGATCTGATGAGAGACTTTGATTAGTTCAAAATCTTTAGGCCTGCAGCCTCTACTGTTTCCTCTTCTTACCCACAATTTTTGTTCAAACATTTTGGTGGGTGAATAATGATAGCTCAATAAGAACTGCAATGTATATTTTTTCTTCCATATGTTCCTCCAATTCTATCCTATATAGGATAAAGTTTGCCCATATTGTCCATATTGTATCACTTAGGTTAGTAATATATTTATACTGCGATACGATAAATTTATAGACCTTGTGATACAATGTAATGTTATCAGATACTTTTGTGTTATTGGAGGGAACCCGGCTCTTTCAAAGTATGTTGCTTCATTCACTTGAAATGATCCTTGTTGATCAACTCACAAGTTTTGAACTTGAAAAGCATTAATCAAGGGAAATCAAACTTCTTTCATTTGAATCACATGCTATTGATATTTATTCTTCCAAAAGGTTGAAGAAACTTTGGAAGGATGTAATTCATGGTAACTCAACTGAATCACGGAGGCCAGACTTTACTTACTGCGTACAAGAAGTCCCTCCCACACTATCGCTGGTGAGACTTGATCCCTAATCGTTCTTTCCGAACTTCACCCCTATGACCATGATGTATAGTATGCATGAATAATTAGTCAATTTTAGAAATATTTGTAATCAACGATTGCACAATCCATCAGTCTATAATTGTGCTTATTTCAGTTATGTACTCTCGGGTACTCGATCATATGTATGATTAACTATACTATAAATGTTCTCGCAATGTGATCGACCAAGAGACTCTTGACAATAAATTACTTTGTAATCTTTAATACAAAAATAATGTTTTACTCACTTAGCCAATCCTTTCAGAATAATATAATCATGATTTTAGAGGGTGTTTGGTTAGATGAAGGGTGTTTGGTTAGATGAAAAACTTGTTCCAAGAAAAAAGTTTTCCTTAAATTTGACTAAAATTAGAGACTTTCTTTTATTTGGTTCATGAAAAACTTTTTTCACTTTAAAATGTTTTCTTTAAGAATAAGGAAAAAAATTCCACTCTTCCCCTACGTATTTTGTTTTTTCATGGAAAAAATTTGTTATGAAAAATTAGGACAATTTTGCTATTTAGAACTTTCTTTACTATTATTCAGGGTTGTAAAAATCAGTCTAGGCATCCGCCTAGACGCTAGGTGCCTCTAGACCGTAGTGATTTCCCCCCTAGGCGCCCGCCTAGGTTACCGGCCGCCTAGGCGTCCGCCTAGCATCTAACTCGGCCGATTTGGCCGCCTAGCGTCTAAGTTAGTCGAGTTAACTCGTCCATTTCGGTTGGGTTAACCCGATTGGCTCGGTCTATTTTTTTATTATATATATGTGTGTGTGCGTGTGCGCGCGCGCATACATATATATAATATGACATATATACTCGTAGACTAGTTTGATACTTTGAATCTTTGGATGATTGAAGTATTTGAGTATTTTTAATTTTTAATATTGTTTTAATGTTTTTTTTTGAAAACCATTGTTTTGATGTTATGACTTATGAATTATCATTAATTCATTTGATTAAATAATTCATTTATTTGGATGTGTTATTTGATTAAATGTTGAAAACAACCTCATTAAAATTGTCAACGCTGCACCATCCATTTAAAATAGTAACTGAGATCTCATCACTCTATATGATAATTGGTCATTTTAATAATTTTATTATTATAATTATTTTAATACATCTTTAAAAAAAAATTAAACATATAAGATGTGCAGAGTTGGAATCAGCTTAGAATTGTAGTATAAGCATTTAATACATCTTTAAAAAAAAAATTAAACATATAAGATGTGCAGAGTTGGAATCAGCTTAGAATTGTAGTATAAGCGAATTTTTTGCACTTTTAGTCCCACGATTATAGTGACACTGGTAGAATTGATCCACGACTTTTGAACCTTGCAATTTTAGTATAAGCATTTAATACATCTTTAAAAAAAAAATTAAACATATAAGATGTGCAGAGTTGGAATCAGCTTAGAATTGTAGTATAAGCGAATTTTTTGCACTTTTAGTCCCACGATTATAGTGACACTGGTAGAATTGATCCACGACTTTTGAACCTTGCAATTTTAGTCCACGACTATTGATTTTTTTGTAAAAATGGTCCTTCCGGTCACTTTTCCGTCAAAATTTCACCGAAAAAAAAAATTCTCTACTTTTAGCCGGGTTAAAATTGACATTTTACTTATCTCAAAAAATTAAAAGAAAAAAAATTGATATTTGACTACATACAATATTACTGAGCTACATACTACTGTCCTAGGCGACAGATGTAGCCCAGTAATATTGTATGTAGTCAAATATCAATTTTTTCTTTTATTTTTTTGAGATAAGTAAAATGTCAATTTTAACCCGGCTAAAAATGGAGATTTTTTTTTTCCGGTGAAATTTTGACGGAAAAGTGGCCGGAAGGACCATTTTTGCAAAAAAATCAATAGTCGTGGACTAAAATTGCAAGGTTCAATAGTCGTGGATCAATTCTGTCAGTGCCACTCTAGTATAAGCTGTGATACTTAAATACTTAATATATTAATAAATAAATTAATTAAAAGTTACGGAGGTATTGACCGTATTGTCATCATGCCATGAGTCTCCTCAATCTTCGTCGTCAAATATAAATTTTTTTAAAAAATCGTAAAATTTATGAAATATTGTAGTGAGCAAATCATGTATGCACTTGTGGAGATCAGGCTTTAAAATCTCTGGTTCAAATTTTGGTGATACTTGTGAAGTACTTGGTTTGGTGCTTGTTTTAGTCGGAGAGTCGAGTGCTCCATGTATCGACGGCGATTCATTCTAGGGTTCCGTCGGGTTTTTGAGTTTCTGCAATGGGAGCATTAACGATCAATCGGAAACGCGGCGAGGATTATTTCGCAGTGAATCACAGAACCCCGGTGCCCAATTTCGATCACGTTTCGAAAAAACCCAGGCTTTCGCCTTCCGTCGTACAACAAGGTCCTGATTTGGCTCGACCCGTCTCGGCGAAGTCCATAGTTTCGAGGCTTTTCCGTTACCCGGAAGTGGTTGCCCCTATAAGAAGAGAAGTTCACGCTCCTTGTAGACAGAGCAGATTCGGTTTTTCTGCGAATTCGAGGAATTCATCGAGCAGCGGTGATTTTAGAGAGAAGTTCGGTAGTGAAATGGGGAATTTGTTCGGTAGGCCGTCCAAGAAGGAGAAAGCGAGGGGACTTGAGAGCTCGAGGTATGGGAAGGAGGTGATTGAGATTGATAGTGATACTAGGAAAGAGGATGCTTCTGAGGATTCGACTGTGGAGGAGGTTGAGGTGGTGGAGAAGGCAAGAATAGTATCTGCTCCAAAGGATGGCCATGGGGATGTTGAAATGTTAGACAATTTCGAAAAGAATGATGTTGGGAGGAAATTTCAGCCTACAAGTTCTTCAGGGGTTGCAGAGTTGAATGATGCAGTTATGAAGGTGGAGAGTCCAGTTAAGACACTTGATTTGGCACCAACCTGCGACGAATTTGATAACTTGGGCCTCCCTTTGTACAAGAAATTGCTTGATACTGTCGAGAAGAAATACGCAGACGATAATTTCAAACAGCTAAATTTTCAGATAGATTATCATGAGAGACGTCTCAAAACATATCAGTTGTTGCGGCCACAGAAGAAACCTGTGGAGTTGATCGAGGTAGTGTTCCTCATCTTGCTTCTTTGGACATGTTATGCTTATGCATGTAGTCTTTGTATCCATATTTCCATTTTCTTGACTTGCAGGATGTGATTCCAGAACCTTTTGTCTCTAAGGAACCTTTTATCCCTAAGGAACCCTTTATCCCACTTACTGAGAAGGAAGAAGCTGAAGTTGCTAGTGCCTTTTCTAATTCAAATTGGTATGAGTGGTGCATCCTCTATTTGTTACAATTTATTTGCAGAGTGAGATTTAAATTATTGCCACTTCGTTTTCTGTAGGGGGAGAGTTTTGGTAACTCATATGAACTCTAATATTGATATTACTGGGAAGGTGTTGCAGTGTTTGGGGCCAGGGAAATGGCTCAATGATGAGGTGATGCTATTAGTTGCAGATACTTGAAGATTGATTTTTTTTTTTTTTTTTCATTTCTTAAATAACAGTGAAAAGGGGTAACAAGTTCTCAATCTAGTTGTTTCCATGGGATCTCTTCATTTGCAGGTTATTAATGTGTATCTAGAGTTGTTAAAAGAGAGAGAGAAAAGGGAGCCCCAAAAGTTCTTGAAGTGTCATTTCTTTAACACATTCTTCTACAAGAAGGTAATCTCATCAACCTCACTTTTTTTGCTGAAAAAATTACTACCTAGTACCTTAATCCTAGATTTTTGTTTATATTGCTAAATGGTAAAGACTCATGCACCGACTTTTTTCTTAGTCTTCAATGCATCTAGGGTATTCCTATCCTCTGATTTGATTCCTGACTACCACCTATTTTGAATGACCTGCTTTTTTTCTTCTAGTGTGATGTATTTAGTACTAGCTGCTCCAAAATGCATCATATCATTGAAGTTTCTCATAGATGAGATTCTTATTTTCATTGAGTAGTATTTTGTTGACCATTATATATATTTGATATCAATGCTTGTAGTCACACATTAATTTGTCTCTAAATTTTTAAAGATATGGCTTAATCTGGTCATTACATCTTAATTTGGTTACTTTTGGTGCTCAGTTAATAAACGGGAGGACTGGCTACAATTATCAATCTGTGCGAAGATGGACTTCTCACCGGAAATTAGGATACTGCCTATTTGAATGTGACAAAGTAAATTTTCATGATTGTTTAGTTTCCTTTTCCTAATGTTATTTGAAAATTTCAAGTGAATTAATATTGAACTAATTACACAGATTTTTGTCCCCATTCACAAAGAAATACATTGGTGTTTAGCTGTCATCAACAAGAAGGATGAAAAGTTCCAGTATCTTGATTCTCTAAGGGGAAGAGATTCTAAAGTTCTGAAAGCATTGGTAAGTTATTGTAAAGGAATGAATAAAAAACATATTTTCCTTCTCTCTCTCTCTCTCTCTCTCTCTGTTAGTCCTTGGTCATACATAATGTGTCATGAGCACAAAGGAGAGAGAAAACTGTACTTATTGTGGATTGAGGGTTCGGATTTTTTTCTAAAATATGTCACACCCAAGGAAACCAACTATATATGCATTCATATGCAGGC